GGGGAATTCTGGGAGTTGAAGTCCACCCATCTTAAAGCGGCCAAGGTTGAGAAACACTGGTCTATAGCTATGGTTGAAAAAAGAAATGGATAAAATTCAAATTTTAAATGCACAGAGGGCTGAATCACAATTTTGTCGAAACTGGAATGCTTATATAGAGATAAAGTGTAATATTGTGGTAATGAAATATTCCAAATGTTGTGAACTTGTAGTGTTACAGTGTTGGAGTAATATATAAATGAAGCAGATAAAACTAAAATAATAATAATAATAATAATAATAATAATTAAAAAAAAGATACTAGTGCCAAGATCCTTTGAATATGTTTTCATTAAAGCGAAACATTTAACCCACTGACAAGCATTTTTCAGATATGCTCATAACTCAATACACCAAGCATCATTGAACACACCCCCTACACCGAGGCTCAATTAATACAGCTTTTTTTTCTCCTAAAAACACCAAATTCACAGCGTTTGAAGGCGAAAATACATTATCATTTTCTCTCAAGTTGTGCTTAGACAAGAATAGTCATTTCGGAGGGATGTTATGCTCCTCATGGAAGTTTCTAGTTCTGTATATCATTCTTAGTTCTCGTTTTTTACACAGTTCTTTTAATATTATCAAGTTGTCCTTGTTTAGCTACTTTTGATTTTCAGTGTCGTTTTACATCAAGGCAGCGACGAGCATAAAGGATCCTCAGTGAGGGGAAAACGCATGGCGTTCCTCACCCCATAACGCGAGGGTCTAGCATCAGAGTTTCCCAGCACTGACAGAGGGGCACGTCTGCTCTGGGTGCAAATGGTGGCTTATGCTCGTAATGCCTTGGATTGAGGGCACAGCTGGGGACAACCCGGAATACAACTTTTCGACCTGGAACTATACTTTCCAGGGGCCTGAGATGCTGGTTTTGCACGGGGTCTCTTTTGCAGCCACACGGGATGCAGCCAACTGGAAAAGGGAATTTGGGCTGGGGGGAAACGCAGTAGGAGTTTGGTGTATGCCATTGAAAAGACTTCCAGCCTACATTTCTGATTTTTTAAAAAAAGATCTGCATAGCCTTCCAGAACAAATCTGATCTCAGAATTATGAAGTCAGTTCATAACCTGGACCCCACTGATTAATCGAATCATCTGTTAGTTGACTCGTTTTCCAAATGCACCTCACCAGGAACTGCAGCATTACTCAACCTTTATCCATATTACTTATATCTATAACCGTTTGTTCAAATGGGCATTTCTTTGATCCATCAGGCTACTTTGCGCCTTAGTCAAGCCTCAAGTAATGCACAACCCAGGAGACGTCTCCAAAAAGTCACTTCTGCGCAACTAAAGATTCTGCGGCCGTTTGCAATTTGACCTCCCCTACGCCTGCAGTCTTGGGGCCCCTCATTTCAACGCTCCCTTGAGGTTAAGTTGTACAAGCACAACGGTTCTTCCTTCCGAGGAAACAAGCTTCAGCTTGGGTTACGGAGCTTTCAGGGAATCTCAGTGTTGCCCTCTCCACAGCCTCCCCCTCGGAGAAGAGAAAGAGGTGAGCCCAAAATAAAGGAGGAGAGCCCGCTGCCCAAACTGTGTGAGCAAAAGGCAGCATTTTGAGGTCAACACTAGAGATTGGGGCTGTTTTGTCCCTTTGTTTTAAAGTAAGTCAAGTGTTTAGGAAACTGAGCCCCACTTTCCAGTCATTTTCTTGGCTACTGTCAGCCCCACGAGGTAGACCAGAGTAGGAAAACAGCTCCACAGGAAAGTTAAAGCTATTTTTATTGAGAGGTTCTATAACAGTGTTGTCCAAACTTGGCCACTTTAAGATGAGTGGACTTCAACTCCCAGAAT